TCCTAAGAATCAAGGTCGTCTACGGCTATGTAATGGCTTTATGAAATTACCAGAGCAAAATAATAATATTTTTCCAAGTCAAAAAAATAAAAAAAAAAATAAAACAATATATGTGTCACTAAATGCTAATAGAGTATGAGGGATAATCAAAGGAATAATGAAGGAATGATAAAGGGTAAGGGTAATTAAAAGGGATAAAGATAATTATTAACTTCGCTTTTGTCTTTCATTTGTTTTTTTTGTAGAGGGACGGGGATTTCATCACAACATGATTTAATTATGGCGGGGTAAGATTTTGTGGGCAAGATCAAGGCATGTAGGTACGTGTGTATGCTAGTGGGTTTTGACGTCAAAGTGTATGCTAACCACGTCTTGTTTCTTTGGTAGGTTATGCCGTTGCGTCGTGAGCGGTGATTCTTCGATCCGGGTCATACGTCAACATCTTATAAAATCCTTTGCTTCGTCCATTTCCCTCACTTTGTCGTTTTCTTTGTGATTTCTCGTGGGGGGGCGTGATCGTGATTGTGGTTGTGATTACGGCCATGGCAGCTTTCCGGCATTTACATCAGAGCTGTCATGCCGTTGCAGGTGGGGAACTCCTTGAGTTTGGGTGGATGGACATAAGAATGTCCACGATTACTGCATTTTCTGTTATCTTCACCTTATTCGCTATAGGACTAGTTGGATAAGGGATTTTCGATCCACGTTCATCCCCCATAGTGTCGACAGCATGATTTAATTCTTCGATGTTCGTCTCAAAGTCTATTTCACTAGGACCAGATGAGACATTTTTCTCGGCTTGAATCAGGTTAATTCGAATTTCGTATGAAATATTATCCAACTTGTAACCTCTGCATGATATTCGACCACTGCGGCACGTTGATGCAAGAGCTTGTGGGCATAATCCATGAGTTTAGTCAGATCGCTCTCGAGTCTTGATTGGCGATCTTCAAACGGTGCCTTACGATCCCGGTCTGCCAGCTTATCGGGTGGTTGTTTTTGATTCGGCGTTGTCTCACTTTCATTCCTCTTCTTCGGCGTCGTCATGGTGGTGGCGTTCGTGATTTCTTGTGGGAGGGCGCGCAATCGTGATCATGATCGTGATCACGATTATGACAGCATTCCGGCATTTGATCTTC